TGGTACTTGTACCATGAAAGATACATTGATCAATGGAACAGAATCAAGAATCCGGAAATTAACCCATCCACATACAGCCAACTGATTTCTGACAGAGTGCCTAAATATATCGCATGGGGAGGGGATAGTCTCTTCAACAGATGATACTGGCAGAGCTGGAAAGCGATATGCAAAAGATTGAAACAAGATCTTTACCTCACACCTTATACAAAAACCTAAATGTGAATCCCAGAATTATGAAGGCCATCAATGGAAAAAATAGGGACAAATGTGAAGGCTCTAATTCAGAACATACACAGATTACCAAACATTTTGAAAACTACACAAACAAAATCAGACAAAATAGATGACTGGGACATACTAAAAATTAAAAACCTATGTACATCAAAAGACTTCACCAGAAGAGTAAAAAGGGAACCCACAGAAGGGAAAAAGCCTTTTGCAACAACACACCAGACAAGGGACTGATTTCTAAAATATATAGGAAACTACAACACCTCTACAAGAAAAGGACAAATAACCCAATTAAAAAATGGGCACAGGACATGAACAGACACGTCACCAAGGAGGAGATCCGGACAGCCAACAAACATACTAAGAAATGTTCATGATCACTAGTCACTGGTGGGGGTGGGGGTGATATACCGTGGAGTCGGTTCCGACTCATAGAGACCCTGGTACAGGGTTTCCAAGGTTGTAAATCTTTACAGGAGCAGAAAGCCTCATCTTTCTCTTGCGGAACAGCTGGTAGTTTCGAACTGCTGACCTTATAGTTTGCAGCCCAATTCGTAACCACTACACTAGCCATTTGAGAGATGCAAATCAAAACAAAAATGAGATATAATCTCACACCAGCAATAACAGCAAAGATTAAAAAAAGTAGAGGACACTAAATGCTGGTGAGGATGTGGAGAGACTGAGACACTAAATGCTGGTGAGGATGTGGAGAGACTGAGATATTCCAAAATGGTCCAACCTCTCTGGAAAGCAATATGACGCTTCCTCAGAAGGATGGAAATAGAAATAGCTTATGATCCAGCAATCCATCTACTTGGTATTTATCCACAAGAAATGCGAGCCATAACACGAGTAGATATATTCACACCAATGTTCATAGCAGCACTATTTACAATAGCAAAAAGATGGACACAGCCTAAGTGCCCATCGATGGAAGAATGGATAAACAAACTGTGGTACATACACACAATGGAATATTATGCTACCTTGAAAAATAACAAGGAAACCGCAAGCCACCGCATAACATGGATGAAGCTTGAGGACATTATGCTGAGTGAAATTAGTCACAAAAGGAAAAATACTGCATAGGAACACTTTTGTGAAAAACTAAGAAAAATAACCCATACTAAAAGGGGAGGTTCTTTGCTGGTTACCGAGATGTGGGGAGTGGGGTGAGGGGAGGGAGGGAAAGGTGGAGCATAGGGTAGGGTATAGACACAGGATAGTTTGAGTGCTGGGGAGGGGGGCAATACACAAGAAGTGGGGAGGGAATGGAAGAACAAGGCGGATGGGAGAACAGTTAGGCAGATTTGCATGGGCTAAGTGGGGCAGAAGTAAATAATGATGCAACAGGGCTCTGGGATACAGGGATTGAGGCATGGTTTGAATGGGTAAAAGGGGGGGAAATAGTGTTAAGGTGCCATACTGCTGGCCAACCAGGTGGAGACCTGGTTGGCCAGCAGTATGGCAAGATCTGGGGACTCCTGGGCCAAGAGTCAGTGACATAGCCACAGAGGACTATAGTGGAGAGTGAAGCGTTCAGCTGATAAGAAGTGAGGGGATATGCCCAAGAACATCCACATTTGCACATAATACCCACTTGACCAGGTTTCAATGGCTGGATGATCAGAATTCGACTAGAAGAAGAATGATGAAGAAAAAGAGTAATCTGATACAATTTGATGAACTTGACATATGCCTATGGATGGAGTAGCTCAAAAGAGGAAACAAATCTTTACAGTGAGCATCATTCCCACCCACTTGGTACACAGGGTAGACAGGGATGGGCAACTTGGACATTGGCTACCCAAAATGGGGGAGGAGGGGCTACAAAGGCAAGAAGTAACTGGCTTATAAGCTTTCAAGAGGGAACGTAGATCCAGAGGGCATGGAGGAAGGTAGAATCTCCACTGAGTAGTATCCAATCTCTCTGGGTGGGGCTGATAAAAGGAGATGGGGATAGGATTTTTGTGGTACAATAGTGAATAATTGCTATCAGGACTGACTGTGAGGGTTAGAAATGTAAAGGTAGACATTTTACAGCAAAAGAAGGGGAGTCGTTGACTTTGCAGTCCGGGAGTGGAGGTCCCTGGGACCATCAATGGAGAAGAGCTGAGTGCTGGACCCTACCCAGAGAAACAGTGACTCCAGAGATAGAAGTAGAGACGATGGCGTGGATAGATGGAACGGCTGGGAACTCTAGACCCAGAGAGAGGGAGAGGGGCTATGTGCTGACCACCGAGGGGCAGGCTTGTGGGGAAATAAAGTATATATATATATAAAGGAGCTCTGGTAGCATAGTGGTTACGAACCGGGCTGTGAACCTCAAGGTCAGCAGTTCGAAACTACCAGCTGCTCCGCAGGAGAAAGATGAGACTTTCTGCTCCCGTAAAGATTTACAGCCTCGGAAACCCTGTTCAGGGTCGCTATGGGCCGGAACCGACTTGATGGCACTTAACAACAACTATATATATATATATATATATATACACACCCTGAGGAACACCTGTGGAAACTTACACATAATCAACAAGGGGGTTCCAGGTGATACAACAGTTATGCTCCCCTGCTTTTCACACTTGTGCTCAGTTCATTTCTGAAAACACTTCAATTAAACATTAGGCAAATCAAAGTTCCTAAAGAGAAAAATGTGCACTGGGAACCCCAAGGGGAGTCTAAGATAAGGCATTAGACCAAAAAATGAAAAATCAGAGCATTTTTTGTTTACTTACAGTAAGGAGCTGTGTGTTCCGTTTATGTAACAATTCCCTTAGTGTCTCTGAGCCAGCTAATATTAGATTTCAAAGGCAAGTGACCAAACTAAAGATGAGAGATGATCACTCTTTCAGCTCTTTTAAACTTCAAAGAAACTAATTTTCAGAAGCCAAACCGATCCAATTTATCTTAAATATTGTTCGCCTAATTTTAAAGCCCATTGTAAAAAGCCATTTCTTTCTGACCCAACAAATCACCTGAAAGGGTTAGGTCCCAAGGCAACTTAGTGAAAATATACCTTCCGTCATGTGAAAGGGGCTCACTGATTACAGTGGACAGAAAGATGGAAAACCAGAGTCTCTTCTCTGTACTTAACTAATCTGCTAAACTCAGTAAATGACTCTCTACAAGCTGATTTATCAAATTTCTCCTAGACAATCCTGGTAGTCCTGGTAGTGTAATAGGTTATGAGTAGAACTGTTAACTACAAGGTCAGCAGTTCAAATCTACCAGCCACTCCATGGGAAAAAGATGAGGCTTTTTGCTCCTGTAAAGATTTACAGCCTCAGAATCACTGTGAGTCACTATGAGTCTGATCCAACTACATGGCACATCACCTCGACCAATCCTGGTAGCCAGTTAGACTCCAGCCAAAAAAAAAAAAAAATCACCCAAGACCTTCTTACCCTCTTTGTTAACTGAAACTTAAGAGCCCCAGCTTTCCTGGTCCCTTGCCATCCAGGAGCTTCTGAGCCCATGCCTACATTCCATCCTTCGGTCTTCTGTGTCTTCCACCTTCCCATTACCAGAAACTCAGTTCATTTTTCTCCACCAACTACCTCAGAGGTCAGAGACCTTTATGAAGAGGGGAACCATGGGTTCTGACTCCTATCAGACTGGAAGTGGGAGACAGGTCTGCAATGAAGAGGGGTGCACACTGACAATTCTTTCCCAGGACAGCAGGAGGCTGTGCTAAGGCTCAAATTCAAGTCCGTCTGTAGTCAGCATCTGCCTCTGTCTAAAACTTTCTGTCCACACTGCTACTTCTCTCCCCTGACTTTCTGTAGGTGCCAACTAGCACTGGTATCTGATATGTCCAAGTCCCCTATATCTGATATGTCCAAGTAGTCAGTATTTCAGCACCTTCAGACCCCTTCATTTCAGCAGGAACCCCACACTCTATTGGGGTCCTGCATTTCACTGAGAGGATCTTTCACACAAATTGTTGAGGCCCAAAGTAGTAAAGGACAGCGGTTTACAAAGCCACCTACTCTCTCACGGGTCCTGAGCGCTCAGACAAGGCACCACTGTGACCAGGCATTTCTTAGGCATGGTTGATTCCTAAAGTGAATGCATTTCGGGAAACTGATGACAGTTCTTTAAATGGTTCTCTCAAGCAAATCTGGACAGCCAGACAGAAATGCAGGGGATCAGCAAAGTCAGAGACTATCCCCATCCCACCCTACTCCAACACACACACACCCTTCCTCCACTCTCGGCATAGCGACCCAACAGCCAGTAGGGAGCTCACACTCCTCAGAGGGGGAGAAGCGTTCACGCTCCAGCGCGAAGTTGAAGTTGAGGGAGTTTAAAGTTAGTAGGCGACATTGCCAGGCTCTTTTGGCCGCAGTAGGTGCCTGGTGGCTCGAGCATGCTTTACAAAGTGGCCACGTTCCTAGACTTTAGAAAACAATGACAACAGCGCAGTCATTTGATTCCAGACTCCAGGAGGATGGGGTCGTCTCCGGTGTGATGGCGGCGTATAAGCCCCAACGGACCTAATTGCTCCCAGAAACCCCGCAGGCGCCCCCAATCCCCAACCCTAGGCCCCAGGAGGAGACGAACAACCTCAGGACTAGCATTCCCGAGAGTACTGGGTCACTCAGGATAAGTGTTCAGGAGCAGGAAGTTCCAGCGGTAAAGGGGAGATGGGGGTTAGGGAAATAGGATCCCCTCATTTCCCTTGGGGAGGGGCGGGACAAGACAGAAACCAGGAGGACGCAGAGTCTGGGCAGACAGGGATCGCAAGCCGCCCCGGCACGGTTTACCTAGCTGTTCCCGGTTGTCCTCCAGACCAAGCAGGCGGCAGGGAAGGCGGCGGCGGAGGCGCACTGTTCGCTGGCACAGGCTGTCGGTGCGGTGCACCAGGGCCAACAGGTGCCCCTCGAGGTCCTCAAGCAAAGCCAGCGAGTGGCCACAGAGGTCAGCGAGCTGCCGAAGCAGGCTGAGCGCAGCCAGGTGGCTCACGTCGCGGAGTTCAGCCAACGGTTGTGGTTGGTTGCTCGGACACAGACTCTGGGGCACCACAGTGCGCCTGTAGAACGGCATCTCCGGTGTGGGCGCAGGGGACCAGTCTGGCAGCGTGGCGGACTCACTCTGATCCGTGCCCCTGGCCCAAGCGCCCCAGAGCGGCAGCCCCAACTCCGGGTGTAGCAGGCCCTTTGGGCGCTGGCAGGCAGTCGACAGTGTGCAGAGGGCTCTGGAGGGGCGGGGGGTGGGGAGGGCGGGCTGATGGGCTCCCAACCGGGAGCGCAGCCTCACTCCAAGGCTACACACTCCTCTGAGCCACCAGTGCCTCTTACTTTCATTCGCCAGGCTCCTCCTTCCAGCCTTTCTCCACCTCCTTCTTCCTCACTCTACTTGGGGACTTACCCCCACCACACCCACACACACACACACACACACACACACACACACACTTTTTTTTTTTCTTTTGCGGTCAGAAATTCTCAGATTAAGGCTTGATCCGGGAGAGGAAGGAAAGGGAAGCTGGAGTATAAAGAGCGAGCTGGAGCAAGAAAGAATGTCTGCAAAAGCGGTGTGCCTGTATGTGAGAGAGACAGAATCAGAGAGAGAGAGACAGAGAGATGTTCCATAGAGTATGTGTTTTGTTTTTTAAGTTAAACTCTTCCCCACGTAAATAAACAAAATTCAAACGCACCAGTGCTCACACCAGCAAGTAACCAGCGTGGCTTTACCAAATAGTCTGACTTTTCACTCTGCTTTTCTTCTCCAAACATGTACTCAATGCCACGAGCTAGACTAAGCTGTGGATACCGCTTTCCAGCGCTCAGGAGCATGAAAATGAGGAGCAAAGAATCAGATATGTAAAGTTCAGTAAGGCAATGTCTCTGGGACCTCCCACAGTACCTGGATGGGAATGGTTCTGGAATTAATAAATGAAAGCAAATCCTTCTCTGCAACAGTAGATTCCATTTGGATAGAAACATCTTTCTGTATTTTATGCAAAAAGAGAACTGGGGTGGCCTCCATCCTGGCTACATTGGGCTCCTAAGGCATCTAGCAAAGGAGTGGGTACAAGAGCCAAGAGGTTTCTGTCTATTCTAGAAGTCAGAAGATACGGGAACACTAGCGTCCTCAGGAAACCAGAGTGCAGGAGTGTGCTATATTCCTGCGTATATGGCAAGCTTCCAATCAGAACATTTTTTTTACCAACACACTGGGCACCCCTATCTCTTCTAATGCACCTCTTTGAGTTTGGTGTTTTCCATGTCTTCGTCACCTAGTTCTCCATCATTCTTCCTAAAAATGTTCACATTATTATAAACTACAGAGCTCTTGTAGCATAGTGGTTACGAGTTGGGCTGCTAAACTCACGGTCAGTAGTTCAAAATTACCAGCTGTTCGGCAAGAGAAAGATGAGGCTTTCTGCTCTGGTAAAGGTTTACAGCCTCGGAAATCCTATGCAGGGTCTCTGTGAGTCGGAAATGACTCCAAGGCACACAATCACCACCATTAGTAAATCTCCTTTAATGAAATACCTGTGTCTGCACTAAAGATCCTCAGTAAGGCCAGTTCTCATTCATTCCCCCAGACAATTGTTCCTTAATCAGTTCAAGACGGATCTATAACTTGTTAAGAGTAATTTGATTGGGAGGTGGAGCTTGATGGCAGCTAAAGTGGAAGGAAATGCAGTGAGGTTACCCAATCAGCAACACCACAGAATACCAGGCAAAGCAGATTCAGGGCAGAGCTCCAAAACTCAGAACCACGTAGTTAGGAATATTTTAAAAGTTTGAAGGCTTATAGCTAATGGAACTTGTAACAGAAGTTTGAATCTGCCAGCTTGGCTGCTGGAGCGGACAACTTGGGCGAAACCAAACGGCAAGACCAAGTCGGGAAGCAGACACACCACGGAATAATGCAGCGGAAACCTCGAAGCAAAGGTGGACAATACACTTTGTCGGTTTTGCACTGTTCTGATTTTCTTTTGTTGTTGTTGTTGTTGATATCTGTCCATTGGCATCCCACTCTCTGCGCACCTCCATTCTGGTGACTAGAGGGAGTTCCTGAGCGAATAGACACCCCACCCTTACCACTGGTGGGTTCTTCTGCCATGCATGTGCACAGACAGATACTCTCAGCCCAAGAGCCCGCCCTGAACTGTTTTGTTTTTAATACGGGAAAGGCCAGAACAAGGGGTGTAGAGAGGGAAAGAGAGCTTAAAAACAAAACAGGCCAAAAATTAAATTAAATCCTGAGGTACAGCATAACAACCAAAAGTGGCATCTTGAAATCTCTCAGGCAGCTTTGGAGGCAAAAAGCTGAAACAGGACATTAAAGTTATACTCATTTTTTTTTTTCTTCTCTCCCTCCTCTCCCTTTATTGCGATTATAGATTACAGTATCCAGTCTAGTTTTTGTTGTTGTTGTTGTTGTTTTGATGTTTTCTTTCTTTCTTTTTTTTCCCTGTTGCTGTTTTGCTTTTTTATGCTCCCCCTTCAACCTTTGGAGGACTCTTTCTCTCCCTATATTACCCAAGAAGAGACAGTAACTGCTACCATATAGTCAAGCTACAATTACACTCTATAAAACACCAAAATTCAGGCAAGAACCACCAACAACTGCCATACACCAGGGAGGCAGACAACTCCTATGAAAGTCACTCTGAGTTAAGCAATGAGTGAAAAGGGAAGCCCACATCCTGATCACATCTACCTGGAAGAAACCAAAAAGCATTTTAAAATACAACACATAATTAAGTATTAAGGCCACAGATAAACACTAAACATGTCCAGGAAGCAAAAGCAGATGACCATATCAGCACATGTCCAGAAACAAGATAAAATGTCTGAGACAAATGACCTAGAGGTCAACACCTCTACAAGAAAAAGACAAATAACCCAATTAAAAAATGGGCACAGGACATGAACAGACACTTCACCAAGTCATAGATCCAGGCAGCCAACAAACATATGAAGAAATGTTCATGATCTCTAGCCATCAGAGAGATGCAAATCAAAACAACAATGAGATATCATCTCACACCAGCAATAACAGCAAAGATAAAAAAAAAAAAAGTAGAGGACAATAAATGCTGGCAGGGATACGGAGACACTCCTGCATTGCTGATGGTATTCCAAAATGGTCCAATCTCTCTGGAAAGCAATGTGGTGCTTCCTCAGAGGATTGGAAATAAAAATACCTTATGATCCAGCAATTCCTCTACTTGGTATTTACCCACAAGAAATACGAGCCATAGCACGAGTAGATATATGCACACCAATGTTCACAGCAGCACTACTTACAATAGCAAAAATATGAAGACAGCCTAAGTGCCCATCAACTGAAGAATGGATAAACAAACTGCGGTACATACACACAATGGAATATTACGCTACCTTGAAGAATAACAAG